TTCATTTTTTATTACAGTGGGCCCCACCCTTGTGTGTATTGGTAAAGAGTAATGCTACTTGCAATCGCTCTATATGGCACACACATGACATGTAGTTATTTGATACATTAATGTGATAGTTTTTTATCACATTTAATGCATCAAATACGCACTTGATATGTGTGCGGGCGATTGCTGTAGTGAGCAACTGCAAGTAGCATTATTCATTGGTAAAAGTTCTGTGAAACACTATTCTTTACATTGGACTACTCTAACTTTTGAATGAATCCTAGTGTCATCTAGATAGAAGAACATAAAACAACTTATTAAGTTTTCAAAATTAAAAAACTGCATATTTGATCGTAAAACTAACTTTGTAAGAGAAAGATTAATCCGTTATTCATATGAAATAACTTACAGCAACAGACAAATACCACGGTCTCTTTGGTAAGGTGAACCGAACACCATTAAATATGGTAGTAAGAATGGAAATGGAGCTAAAATGTGATTCAATATATTGTCCAGTCCTATTCATTCCTACAAGCCAGACATGCTTTAAAAGTTGGAAAATTCTATTTGTACATAATTTTTTACCTAATGTTTTACTGAATTGACAAATGGCGGTCCCCTATTGGGGGCGTCTGGGGTAAAAAAATTAGGTACTTGTAGTATAACTCTTAAAAATTATATCAATTTCCAAAATAATAGTTCATGAGGAATATAACTCAAGATGGAAACTGTTAGCTAGTTTCAGTTCCTAAAAAAAGTTGATCATCATACGGTCATTGAAAAGAACAGGCAACAACATGCATTTATATTTTGTTACATAAAGAAAAAGATGTTAACAAGATATTAATATCTGTCTACGTAGGAATGATTAAGACTGGACTGATGGAAATTAGCAAAATATCTCAATTTCTCCATCGGTTTCGTTGTAAGCAGGGACGAACGCATAACTCTAAAGTTAGGGGGCACAATCGAACTTATAAAAAAGTAGAGGAAAATTTTACAATCGAAAATTTATTCATATCCTAAGACTTGGATTTTCAAGTTAGGATATTTCCTAAAAAAAAAAAGTATTTTTTTCTATTTACTAATATGATCGGAGGTAATATTACATAAATAAACCATACTTTTAAATATTTTTTTTACATACAATATTTTTTAATTGTTCCACCTCAACCATTGTTGATTTTGCTAGTATTCTCAAGGCTTGAATTCTGAACATAATTTATATTATTTGGAGTGACGTTTGTATTGTGAAGGAGCCGTATGAACATCGATAATTTAGGAACATCATTGTGAGAAATTCCAATATTGTACGCTGGTTGTTCATCACATGTGATGAACAATTAGCATACAGGTTTAAGCCTATTTTTTGTCCATGGCGAGTATATGATGTAGAACAATGCTACTTGTACAACACATGGGTTACAACATCTCACAAGGGAGGTGGGCCCCACCTCCCTTATGAGAGGTTGTA